ACATTACAACGGTGGGCGGCAAAAATCACAATTGCACCTGGCATAATCGAACCAGTAATGAAGATATTGTCTGCTGCGACCCAACTTACCGAGAAGCAGAAAATATGTGTATTGAGCTTTGATGAGATGAAGGTGCGCAAAAGTTTCTGCTACGACAAATCGTCAGACACGACATATGCTCCTGTGGATTACGTTCAAGTGGCTATGATACGAGGTATGTTCGTGCATTATGTTAATATCGCAATATAATTATTTGAAAAGTATTTATTTTTTAGGTTTGATGGCTAAGTGGAAACAACCCTTGTTTTATGAATTCGATTGTCGAATGACTGCTCAGATTTTGTTCCACATAATAGAAACACTGCAATCATCCGGGTACCATGTAGCCGCTGTTGTTAGCGATCTTGGCGGGGCAAATAGGAAACTATTTAATGACTTGCAAGTCGACGAAAAAATCCATGGTGAGCACATGTTAATAGTTTATGAATAGAATACTCATCTAGGTATATTTTTGTACTTGAAATTCAGGTTCCTTTACGATGAGTACCCTATTTTTGTTTTTGCGGATGCACCGCATCTTATCAAATTGCTGCGCAACCATTATTTGGACCATGGCTTTACAATGAACAATAAACCAGTGCAAAAGGAAATTATTGCGGAACTATTATCTTGCACTTCGTCAAAGTTATCTATAACTCATAAAATAAATAGTAGTTACCTTAATGTTGTTCGCGCCCAACGGCAGAAAGTCAAAATGGCAACGAAACTGTTCTCGCATTCCATAGCTCAAGCCATTACTCGTGCTGCAAGTTTCGGTCATTTAAGTGGACATAATTGGGAGGAGTGTCATAGGCTTTTTAAAACGATAGCTACTTTTAAAACCATTTTATATTTTATTACTCTTATTATTTAATTATCTCTTTTTTAGACCAACGACTGGTTTGACGTTATGAACGTCAGAGTACCATATCCCGACTCAAGGAAGCGTATGCATGCTTATGGTCTTGCTCTCGACGTCCAAGATGGCATCTTGGATGGTATGTCTAAAATGGTGGAAGAAATGAGGGTTATTGGAAAACAAACTTTGTTACCCTTCCAAAAAGGTAATAATTAAAAAAATAATAAAATTTGTTTACCATATGTACAAACATTTTAATTTTAAAATATTAGGAATACTACAGTCCAACAATGCCCTAAAGATGCTGCATGGGGAATTAAAAAGTCGCTTCGACATAAAGCATGTCCTGACGTACAGGCTTAATCAAGACGTCCTTGAAAATTTCTTTGGCGTTATTCGAAGCAAAGGAGGCCAACACGACCATCCCGATCGCCAGGAATTTAAGTACAGGCTAAGGGCATACATACTTGGTTTTAACGAAGGTGTGTTATCTGACAGCGCAAATGTATCGGTGGATGACACTCCTGACCTTGAAGTGTCGGATAATTCCCTCACAGTTATGAATCCTATCTTATTTTAACCTTCTCGACATTAATAACATTTGTGTTTTTCCATAGGTATAATATTTAATGGCCTTTTGTTGCAACCAGAAAATGAGAGCGAGCAAGTTGAAGATGACGAACTGGAATCTTTGGAGCACGATGGCTTGGAGAATCTCGCAGGTTATATCTGCCATAAGCTGCACACTCAGATTCCCAACATCAGAGAGGGAGCGACAGGTGAGGAGGATTTCACTTGGGTAAATCACGTCACCGAAGGTGGCTTATCGAAACCAACTCCAGAAATGATGGCGAACATGAGGGCATTGCAGAGAGTTTTCGATGAGGTTAATGAAGACGGTTTATTCATTGCCAGCAGTTATCTGCAGACCCATATCTTAAAAGCGGATCATGTTCCATGCGATATAAAAATTAAAAAACTCTTCTTACGCGCACGTATGTTTTTTAGAATACGCACTTTAAATAAAACAATTATTAAAATTAAAATTAAAATTAAAAAATTATTAAAATTTACTAAAACAGTAACATAACATTTTTTATTTTACAACTCCTTGTACTATGTTATTTAAATGAAAAAGGAAAACACTGAATTAAATACATATTAGTACATTTAAATATACCTAGTTTTATTTATTCAATGCACTAAAAAGCGAAAATTTACATGTTTTATTACATTGTCTTGTACGTGGAAAGCTCCTGCCTGCATGACCCTTTTCAGAGAGGCTACATTCACTTGTCTGTACGCCGGAAAAGCTTTTATATAGTTTAAATAGAATAAACAACACGGAGTTGAATATATATATCAAGTTTTATTTATTGAATGCATTAAATAGCGAACATTTACATGTTTTATAACTTCGAGTATAGCACAAACGAACAACCAAATGTAAACAAACTGCTATTGGTACGGATGACGTCAGAGCTATCAGCTGTTTTTTCGATACTTTTTTCTCACTCCCGAAATGTCGTACTACGAGTGAGTGTGGACGAGTCTTGCGCATAATTTGGTGTAATTTCTTGGCGCCTACAACATACAGCTACTCACACTCAAAGTGGGACACAGAGAAAAATTTGATGGTAGAATATTTAGAAGGCATAAAAAAATTGTCGATTAATTTTAAGCATTTTCATTTAATATAATTCAATTTATTAGAGAAATATATAGACAAAAAAATAAAGAAATTCAAAAAATGCCATAAGAGCTTTTTAAAATTAGTCTTTTGTTATTCAAACTGCTTAAGGCGAAGCTCACACTCAAAGTGGGACACTACAGTTTCCATACATGTATTTTTTATAAAATAAGTAATTAATACTTCGTTGACTTTCCTTTGCTCGCTATCACAGCTTGAAGGCGTCTCGGTATACTTTCCACCAACTTTTTACAGAATTCAGGTTCGATATTATACCGCTCTTCTATTACGGCATCCTTCACTGCGGCAATGCTTTTGGCCTTCCATCTGGCTACCCTTTTTTTCCCCCGCTAGGGCAGGCACCTTGACGTTGGTGCGGGGGCTTAGCTGAACCATCAACCGGGACGCATCAGGGGGTGCTAGCGTGCACGTATCAGCACCTCCCAGGTATGGTACGAGCGCGCTGCACTGCTCTGATGCGGCCCGCTGATGGACAGCGACCAAGAACTGCCACCCCCCCTAATCCAGGGTGTAATGCGACACCGTGCCCATTGGAGGGTTTGCAGCCAGGGGGGTCAACAATCCGGCTGTATTATAACGGCGCCCTCCTGACACCGGGCCGCCTCAGGGAGTAACGGTGGCCTTACCGTGGCAAGGGGCGCTACCACGGCGGACGACTTGAGATCCCCGGAACCATATTTTGACCGCTGAGCTCGCCCTGTCGAGCAGGTGGTCGTAAGAACAAGATGAGCAACAAAAACAACAAAAAAAAGAAAAAAAATAAAAACACAAAAACCAAACGATGGCTTGACTGCATGAAAGACCTCTCGCCAGAAGAGGCGGCGTTATTTGCCGAGCACGCCCGCGATGACGACGGCCCCTCCTGTAGTAGAAGCAGATTAAGCCGAAAGAGAGGCGGGAAGAC